TCTCTGCTCTCACTGGCATTAGCAGTTCTCAGGACTTTCTTACTCTTTTGGATTAGTTTTGTTGCCTAGTAGAGTTTGGGACTGTGAAGGCTAAATACCACTGCTTTTCAGTCAGGCCTGCACCAGAATTACTGTGTATACACCAGCTTTTCTGCACAGAGAGGCAAGGTATGGTTTATTTCAATAATCTACTTTTTACTGTGCTGGATTCCAGCTTCTTTAGAGCAGGATTTTCAGCTGCTGTCAGAGCTTGCAGTGATGAGGTGACACAGGCAGTTATTTGTACAGGCCTAGGAGAGGGAGCAGCAGTTCAGTACAATATAAACTAACTGCATGCAATCCATACCACACTGGCTCTTTAGGTTCCTAAAAGCTTGATAAAGCTTGATGTAGTTATTTTCTTCTGAAAAATCTTCTTTGCCCAGTACTTTTTGAAGTAGGAAAAGTCTTTTTTTTTTTTTCTTCTCTATCCTCTGTACCTCTTCTCTCACACTAACACACACACACCTGATTGTGGATGTAAACCTGCTACACTTCAGTAGCAAGGTCCTGGTTAATTCATTGCTCAATTAATGCCCAGTATCTTAACAGATCATTGCTTCAAGTGAGGGATTCTGCCCTTCAGTCTATGGTCTGCTTACAGAATCACTGTGGCCTTCCCCATGGGATTTGTTTTCTTTTTCACCTTCTAACGTGTCAATGTATGCCCCTGGATATTAGAAAGCTTCCTTTATCTCAGCAGAGGAGATCGTGTCTATTCTCTGATTTGTGTGGATATAATTTTGAACAATGCTGTGGCATAAGTAGAATTAAATGTGTGGTGCATTTTGGGGAATTAGCTTATTGCTTTGGAAAGCAGTCTGGGCCTGTGATTCCATGTGTTGCTTTTGTGAGCTGCCTGGTTTCCCCTGTGTGTCCTGCCTGGCACGGTGGTATCTGATGTGATGAGGTGCTTTCACCATCTGCATATCTGATTTTGTCACACTGCAGTTAGACTCTGATTTGCTGCCCCAGGAAATAGAACTTTCCTTGAGAAGTTACTGTAAACACACAAATGCCTTTTCCTGTATTGGAACTGAAATTTTGCACTGAATGCTGACAGGATCTGCAGTGAGCATCAGTGGGAACCAGAGTTCCATGTGCTGTTGACAGCTTTGAAACACAACAATGAAAGTCACTTTATCAACTCTTTGTTTTCTTTAGATTTATTTTCAGAGAATCTGTGTAACAGTTGAATGTCATTTGATAGCCAAACAGTGAACAAGAACAAACCAGTTTCAATTACTTGCTACTTGATCCTTGGAATAAACCCAGATAGTTATAAAAGTTCTAAATAATTTAGTAAATAAGATGCTGAAATAGGAATTTGTGCCCTGCATCTGGAGATGGATTCCAGTTAGGTTTATGACAACATTTTTCTTCAGGAATTCTAAAGCTGAACAGATTTATACCTTCATCTTCTGGTTTTTAACATGAAGTTATTTTTTACAGCTTGCACTGTACTGTAATTAATAACAAGTATTATTAATAAGCATTAATCTTTCAATCCAGCTGTGTGTGAAAGGTTCACTGGTCCAACCTGCTCTCAGAATACTGAATTAATGCCTCAAGGAGGTCTGAAACCCACTGGTGTTCCAAGGTGACACAAGGCATTTGTTAAGCACAGTGGGAGAACATTTTCAAGAAAACTAAACATAGTTCATGGCACCATCATTCAAATTCTGCTTTTGATTGATTTTCAAGTCAAGGCTAGCATGTCCTCTTTGTTTCTCTTGCTCCAGTCCATGCAATCTAAAAGATTTATGGATGAAATCTGGACTGTCAGTTTCACAAAGTGAGAAATTGCAGTTTTTATCACAGAATAAGGCAATTTGACTATTTTTTAACACCTTGGCAAGAGTTTATGACAAGAATAGACAAAAAAGAAACACTGAGGAAACTTTCCCATCAAACTAAACCAAGGTGAAATATAGAATTTCCAAAGTGCAGAGGGTTGAGGTTATTTTTTTTTCTCTTGAAGATAAAATTTCAAAAGCTCTGGAAGGTGGTTTTCAGAAGTTTGGCAGATGCTTCAGTGTTTCAGAACAGGAGTTAGTGTTTTTCCTGGCCAGTTCTCCTCCCATCAGAGTGGGTATTCAGAGGATGCAGTTTTATGTTACAGCTGGACTCATTAACTGTGGGCAGTGACCAAAAAGGGAGGGTTTGTTTTCCTCTCCAAAGCTTTTCCTTCCCTCTCCAGTGTGTCAGCAGTATTGCTACTCTGACCCCACAGTGAACTGATTCAGAGAACTAAGGCTGTAGAAAACTACCACTAAAAACAAGGAAAAGAATGGCTTTTTACTGATGTCGAGCTCTGATCCATCCTGGGGTCAGGCAAGTGCCAGTGCTGTGACTGGGATGTGTAGCCAGAGGCAGGATGAGTGGGAGAACTCTTCAATTAATGTACATGTGATGCAAATGTAGATTTCTAGCAGTTTTATCAGGTTAAAGATTATTTCTGGATTAGCTCTACTGCTGCTGAAAAGAAGGGTTTTGTTCCCTCTGCCTTGTTTTCCTACATCCTCCTTTGTGGTAGCACCACTGATTTATGGTTTGTTGGATCAGGAGATTCAGCTGAAGATTAAGCTAACAACAACAAAGAGAATTTCAGCTTCACAAAAGTTATTCTTACATGGCAAATGACAAGGTAGTGTGAATTTGTCCTTTGTGACAGCAGCACAAATAAATTTCCTAAAGTTAGTTTTGATGTTGCACTGGGAGTATTCATGTAGAAAAAGTTTATTTGCCAATTCATTGACTCTCAGCTTGCTGTGCTGTGCAGGTTTAAAGACTTTCTTGGAGGATAAGATCCTGAAATCACGTGTGGCATCATCAGTCTCTGTTTTGCCCATGTGATTCTCCTCTGGTGTCTCTCCTGAGAGGGACAGTGAGCCATGGAACAGTGCTGGATTTAGGAGAGACATCAGTGTGTGCAGTGTGTGATGTAAAATCATCATCTCATCATCTGTGTTAACATAGGTGGCTTGTGGATGTATTCTCTCCGATTTTTCACATCTGTTCTGTGTGGTTTCACTGAAGTGTCTGTGTCAGTGGAGCACACATTATCTCAGACGTTTGGGATGGATGCTCTTGGCACTGAGCACAGCTAATTGCATGGAGCTCCATCTCTAAGGTGAAGTGCATTTCTGTTTTCTGAGGGCCCTGGCAGCTCTGAGGAAATGGCATTCTGGCCTCTCCAGACACATTTCACAAGTACCAATGGGCTCAAGACTTTCTTTTGAAGTTTTTGTTTCCTTCAGAAATGAGATTCAATGCAATGCCCTCTGGCCTGGCTTTTCTCTTTGCTGCTGTTTTCTTTTGGGATTACTGTTTGGTCATTGTTTGGTTCGGGCCATACTCAATTGCCCTTGTAATTAATGTGGAGCTAATAACCATGTACTGAGTAATCACTGGCTGCTCTGCTTTTCTGGGATTGTTTTGACTCTTTCAGATCCTGCTGGCTCTTGGGGGGAGATTTTTGCATTTAACACCTCTGAATTAGAGTATTTCAGCTCTGGGCAACCTGCTGATGTGTTAAGACACATTAGATGATAGGATTGTTCTGACTAAATATGAGTGCCTAGAATTGAAGTGTCTGGATGAAAATGAGTGACCCTAGGATCCCTTTAGGGACAGTGAGGTTCTGTCATGGTGCTCCTGGAGCTGGCATGCTGAGTGCTTCAGCCTGAAGTGGCTGCCTGTGTGTGGGCAGATGCCCATGAGAAAAGTGGCAGTAGGTCATCTGTCAAATTTTGATTAGATTTCTAATTTAATTAATTTGGACAATTGATTTAAGTGTTTTTATTTGGTTTTCAATCCATGTGAAAATGGAAGTTGCCAGACAAGAGTTTGTGGAGCTCCCTCAGGCTGACATCAAGAGGAGCACCTTTAAAATGTAGATGCTGAGATGCACGTGACAAATGTGCACTCATGCTCTTGATTGAAGAACTTCACATGTACAGGAATATTAATATTACCACTGTAACATGCCATGAAATTGTCACTTACAGGATCAGCATTGCCATTTGACTGACTGGAGTTGTGAAGTTGGTTTCTTCTGCCTTCATGACCCAGGGTGTGCTCTGTAGTTCCTGTGTTGCTGCTCCTGCCTTCACTTTCCCTGTTGTGTTTGACAAGTTCAGTCTCCTCTTTGCCTGGATATTTCATCTTGTGCTAAAAGAAAGAACCAGTTTACCTTCTGTAATCCACATTCTGGCTTATTTCACAGTTGTATTTACAACAAGTTTGTTTAAAGCTTCAAAGACTCGTTTGTATAGGTCTTGGCTGTCACAAACGAAGAGATGAACTTAATAGTTACTCCCTTTTCTCTACTTAAAGCTCTCCCTTTCCAGCAACCTTTTATTGTAGGTACCCCTGGGTAGAAAATCCACAGTACTCAGGTAATGTTTAAAACAAATGGCATTTTACTTGTCCAAACTTGATTAGGATTTAAGTGTCTTTGGCAGAAATAGAAGATCAGTGAAAGTTCATACTTAATATATGGATAAAGAATATAAAATGGGGGGGAAAAAATCAACATTCAGCAATTGTAGGGTTCAGTTTAAGAACTTGAACTTCCCATGATTCTTCTCAATTACTTCACTTCCACATCAACATCACCATTACTGATAAAGTGCCAACTCCAGTATAGTATTCTAAACTTGGAAAAGTGTTTTAAGTATTCTGCATGTGTTGCAGCTCAGGAGAGAAGAGAAGGTCATGGAATATGGAGCAGGACCCAGACTCAGCTTTTGGGCTGTGGCACCTGGGACATTCTGGTGCACACTGCACATCAACACTAAGCAGCTGCTCCATTTCCAGCACTTGCTCTTCTCAGTGCTTGAGCTGAAGGTTGTGCATAGGCATAATTTCAGGTGAATGTGTCAGGTCTGCTTTGCTCCTCAGCAGCTGCTGGGTTTGACATTTTGGTCACTGACTGGATTTTTTTACTTCTTTCCCAGGTGTTCACCTCTCATGGGCCTACTGTGATCATGCCAACCTGGTTCTGTTCTCGAGAGTGGTTTTTTCATGTGGGAAGATTTGATGAGGGTGGAAAGGTGAGTGGTGCAGGTGAACTGCAGTCCAGGAGCCATCCCTTTGTTTAACATCCTCTGAAAGCCTCCTATCTGTTATTAAGGAACAATAGGGGAGGGGTGTAGATGATAACTGAGCTCTAAAAAAACCTGGGTCATACAATTAAAAAAAAAAATAGTCTCCAACCAACTAAAGTTGTTTGGGAATAACCCTGGTGATGGAAGGACCTACCTGAGATGGACATTGTAACACATCTGTCAGATATGTCAGCAAACCTGAAAAAATTAAAGGTTTCAGACATCCAAGCTCCTCTTTGGTCCCTGGAATAGATGCTAAAAACAAGAGAGCCCACAGTTCTGTTATGAACTATCCCTGCAAGGTGAGGTAGGCTGCTGGAAGAGGTTGGGAGGGAAGAAAGGTGCAGAATAGCACAGAGTTAAAAGTACATTCACCTTAGGGGGAAGATTTGTATTCCTGAGAGGAAAAAAGAAGGGCCATAAAACTGCTACCACTGAAAATCATTTATCCTCCTGCCTCCTGTGTGCTCCTGTCAATCTTAGTTCTTGTGCTTGTCCTTGGAAGATTTTAAGTAGCTTCTCCTCAAGGGTCAAGGCTGAGAGATTACAAATTAAATACCTGTGGTCTCAGAATTGGTCCTTCCCTGACAGTTGGGTGTTCTTTCCTTTATGAATTTCCTGTTTGAGTTCACTTTGATTGCTTTAAGCTCATCATTGTGTTTATGGAATAAAATCCATGGGTGTCTGTTAGCAGTATTTATTGTGGTAGCTGAAATATGTTGACAAATAGATCTAATTTAAACACATTTGGATCCATTTTGTGTGGTTTGGTTCTGAGAGGTTTTGCTTCCAGTGGTTTTGGTGAGATTTTAGGGCTAAAATGGGTGGTTCTGATTTTTTTCTTTTTTTGAAAGCCTTCATTTATTAGCACTCTAAAAAAATCTGCTAAGGCTATTTCCTATTTTATTATTTAAACTACAACATATGATGATGATGATTATTTTTATAGCTTTTAAATGAAGCCCTTCAGTGCCATGCTGTGTGTGTATATATATACATGTGTATATATGTTTGAGGATATACAAATATTATTCTTTGAGCTGCCAAAAAATTATAATTATAAGGAGACAGCAGACAGAGAACTGAATTGTTTATAGCAGTGAAAGGATTTGCCCTTAATTACATGGTGGGTGAGTGGAAGAGCTGGGAATGGTGCCTGGCTCCCAATACAATCTACATTTGCTGACCCATGCTCTTTATTTCTTTCTTATTATTATTTCTTACCATTGTATTTTCACTCTCTGAAGGATGTTTGACTTCTTGGGTGTTGTTAGTAAGCTCCAGAAAGAAAGCAAGCAAGTTAAAGCAGCAGCAACAATAGAACAGCAAGCCTAATGATGAAGTTCAAGAGGTTAGGTTAAATAGACTATTGTTCTGTGCTTTTTGCCTTTCAATTTGGTTTTATTTTCTCCTTGTTTTGTTTTTATGAGTTGGGTTTTTTCTGTTTAGCTCTCTGTGTGTAATTGTGTAGGAACTATGCCACTGGTTGTTCAGCTGTAGTACACTGACAATCTTAATCCTGATGATTTCTCAGCCACAATGCATGATATGTCCTTCTAGTTTTAAGAATTACTAGTGGTAAGTTGAAGATATTGTTTGTCCCTGTTGTGAAGTGTCTAACATGTCCAAGCTCAGACTCTGGCTGATGCAGAGGCCTTCAGAAAAATCCCCTCTGAACAGGACAGATCTGAACAAAGCCATGGACACAAGCAGTGAAGTCAAACCTTTGTCTTCTGCGGGTTTAGAGGACACAAAATCAAGTTCTTAAATCTTGAGCATTTAGTGTGACAAAGCATTTAGCATTGCTCTAACTCGTTCATTTTCATTTGAAAAGAAAGGCAAAGAAAGTTTTTTTTTGTGTATCAGCAGAGCTGAGCACACTCTGAAGGGTCCCATCCCTGTGTGTATGTTCTGACCTGAGCCGGGTGGGTTTAATCTGATCACTTCCATCTCGTTTTTGAGTTACTGTATTTGTGAGAATTGCTGGAAGTAAACACAGGAACAGGCCAACAAATCTCCATGCTTTGGCCTTCTCCATTTGTGAAACTGTTTCTTGCCAAAAAGCTGCATTTCTCATCTGAAATTAAATCCCAACACCTGTTCTTCATATTTCAGTGCTTAGGAAAAAAATGGAGGGTAATTCTTCCATGGGAGAAATTGTGATTTGATGTTTATGGTAACAGAGTGGGTGGACTGGTAAAATACAAATAGATGTGCTATGGTCTAATCCTTTTTTTTAATTCCAGGTAGATATGTATGTCTCTGCAACCATTTAGGCTTTAGATGAAACAGGTTTTTTTCTTTTTTTTTTAATGAAGTTCTTTCTGATCAAGATTTGCAGTTGTTGGAAGTGTATTACTTTCAGGTCCAAACAAAATAGTATCTTCATAAATGGTCTCTAAGAACTTGACAGGTTTGTTTTATATATTAATTAACTAAAATGGTAGAGATTTTATTTATGTAATCACTGTTAAATGATGATTAAAGCAGGAGTACTGAAGAGATTTTAGCAAGCTCTGATGGTGTTCTGAGACTGAGATAATACAATGGAAGTGGTCACAAACCTATAAAGTAACTCAGATAGTATCCCCTGCTGGAAGAAGAGTCACACAATGAACCATACTTTTGACCTACTTTTTTTAGGGAAAGAAAAATAATCTTTTAAGCAATTTTGGATAAAGAGTACAGCAGTTCCTTATTGGAAGAAGTAGCAGCACTTTCACTAAACCTTCAGAGCTCCCATTTGTCACTTAGTGTGTGACATTACCATGGGTAGCTTTGCTGCTGGAGTTTTTGGTGTTTCCTAATAAGTAGCACCATTGTTAAAAAGTAATAACCGTGTCCAAAAGCATCACAAAAAATTGTGTTGAGGAAAAAATGCCCGTGTTGTGGTCTAATGTGAAAAGCAGATTTTGAAGCTGGATTGTCTGTTAGAGTGGGGAACTCCCCAGTTGTGTGCAGTGGGAGATGAGGTGCCTGTTATAAGTGAAGCAAAGTTATTTTTTCATGTGTCTGACAGAAATGCTGAGTACAAGGAGAGCTGAATAAATGAGCATTGCTGCCCTGCAGGCTCCACTCCATGCAAGGGTGGAAAATTGCAGTCTTGGCTCTGTCCAGGCAGAATTACTTCGACATCACAACTGTTACTTGCCAAACTTGTCTCTTTCTCTAGAATTTTACCACAACTTGGTTCCAAATTTCCTGTCACCCCTGTGTTTATCCTTCCTTTTTAAGTGTATGAAAACTGAAAACGGAGTGACAGCCTTAAAGTTCTGAGCTAATCTCAAAGTGTAAACAGGGGCAAATTATTCTTAATGAGCCCCAGATGGAATCGTGCATTGTAGAACCACCAGCTTTTCTGAATACAAACTGTACCCCTGAACAAAGTGTCTGGGGCTCAGTTTCATTCTGGTTTTGTGATAAAAGGTCACAAAAAACACGAACTGAGGAGGTGTCAAAATATCCTTTAGAGCACAGGGACTGTAGGCCATGCTGTAAAGCTCTGAGGTAAATGTAGCTGCTGGGCACTCACTGCTGCGATTTTCCAAGTTTCTCTGCCAGAGCACACAAATGTCATTCTCTTCAGAAAGGCAAGTGGTTAAAATAATGCCTGAGAGGTAAAAGGCTAAGTAGAAATTTGGTTTTTTGGAACATGAATTAAAATACTGTCAGTCTGTCAAATAACCTATCAAGATGCTGTGGGGAAAATCAGGATAAAATACAGGCACTACTGGGGGGTTTTTTGTTTGTTTTTGGCTTGATATAGTTAAGGCTGAACAGAGGTCAATATTTGATCTAAAAAGCAGAGAAAAAGTGCTGGAGCCAGTGATTAATTACACTTTATAAGCTATTTGAAAATTCACCCCATACCCCATGTCTAATTATATTTTCTCCTGGTCTATTATTAAATATCATTTACAATTTACCACCTCCCTTCCATTTGACTTCCCCATCATCTTTGTTTAACTGCATCTCTGTGCCAAGACATTTGGATGAAAGCAACCTTTTGGAGTTTCCTTTAACCTGTTATTTTCCCAACAATGAAATAAATGCTAGTGGGCTCCAGGTCCTGTAATCAAGGCAAAATGATGGAAAGGCATGATCTGGATGAGAGCCAAGAAATGAAGTGACAGGTCTGCAGAAAGGGAAACTTAAGAATATCTTGGGTAATCCTGTTGAAAAGCTATTAATAGCTATTTAATTCTTTCCATTCACCAATTTTAGGCTCCCCTGAGGAATTAAAGCGATTTTTTCTGTCCGACAGCTACCCCAATGGTCCTGACTGATTTACAAAATGTGTACCAAGTTACAGCCCAGTTTTCCTTGATGCCCCTGATCAAGAGGGAGGACCAAGCTTTTCCAACCCTGAAGGCTTTTTTTCCCATGTGGATTGATGTACTTCTCCTGTCTTGTTTGTCATTGCTGTTTATTATAAGTGTGTGTATTCATGAAATAATAGCAGACCTCCCATTTTCTCCAGCCAGACTTCTCTGCACGGGCTAAATCTCCACTGGTTGGGCTCACAAGGATCTGCCACCTGTGCCAGAGTGCCTGTGAGCTGGGAGAGGGCAGGGACTCAAATGTGACTGAGACAAGACTGAATGGAGATGGATGAGGAAGCTGGGACAGATTGTGGCACAATCACCCTCATCTATTTGGTTTGCAGTAAAATGCAGATATATTTTATATTGTGTATGTGCCTCTACAGCCCCGTGGTGGTTTCTGTCCAAGTGACCAAATGAAAGGAGCTGTCAGCCTGAAGTGCTGCTGTTGGTCATCCCAGGGCTGCAGCATGACCTCACCAGCTGTGAATGGTTACAGCATTGCACAGGGCATCACTTGCATTAAAACTCCTCCAAAAATTGCTGATCGTCCCTAGTGATGCTCCCCATCATTACTGATGGTGGAGGTGCAAGGGTTGTAGCCAGAACTGCTTGTTGGGAGATGCTTGAACCTCTTGGAAAAATGTTGAGGTCGCTGCAGTTGGAGCTGCCAGGAGTGAGAGCAGCGAGCAATGAGAAAATGGCAAGAGAAAGGTCATAGATAATTTAGTTTGGTCCCTGAACAAGGAAGTACTTTAACTCAAGTTGGGTTCTGCCTGACACCCTATGATGTATAAAAAAATCAGTCCCCTCATCTGTAGAACTGATGCCTGGAAAGGCTGACCTGGAACAGAGACTAGACAGAGCAAAAGAAATAAAATAGGAATTTATTGAAAGGATTCACTTTGGGTAGTGCAAGAGCCTGGCCGGGGCTACACCCAAATCAAACCCAAGATGGATCCTGGTCACGAGTTTTACACTTTTATAAATTTTGGTTCATCTACACATTGGGGTCAGTTATCCAAGCACAGCCACAGGCTATGGAGTCTCAGCCCCCTGGTTTGCCCCCTTTCCCTCGCTGTTGTTTCTGATTTTTGGGTACTGGATGTCCTTGATTCTCTGGCTAGAAAGGAATTGTTTTGTCCAGCTACCCTGTGAAGAGAACTCACTAACACCTAATATGAAGTTTCAGAGTTACACATTAAGCAGCAGAGATTCTGAAAAAATATAAAAGCTGAAACCTAAGGCATCATTTCCCCCCTTCAGACAAGGGGGGAATCACAACATCAGCACAGCAAGCAGTACCTGCCCAAAATACTGGGTCAAGAAAAACCCTTCCCCTGTTCAGTGGGGATGTGATAAAGTGAACTGTGATTTTACCTTTGGCTGGTAGAGCAGAGCAGGGGCAGGCTGTGCTTTGCTCTGGGAGCTGCAATTAGTTTATCCTTTTTTGCAGCAGAGGATGTGGGGTTGGGTTTTGCCTGTAATGTGGAAAATTCTGCATGTAGTCCAGTAACATATAAACTGTGCAATTTAATTGTATTTATTATTGCTGAAAGCTATTGATGTGGTAGCCTATTGCTGAAATGCTGGGTTAGTAATTGATACTTTTAGCTATGGATATTAATTTTCAAAAAATGCATTAAAATATCCCTTTAGTGGTTAAACAGCTTCTTCTTTCAAAGCTGTGTTGTTTCACAAAGATTCCTGGTGTTTAAAACGCCATCTGGATCCAATAATAGATCTCAACTGGGAAGGAACTCTTGTATTGCAGCAAGCTTACACACTCAAGAGCTGTAGGAAGTCCCATCCCTGCAGGATCCATAACACAGTCAACATCTTTCCTCTGAAAAATGCGTGGCAGTGCTGCTCCTTTGTAATGTGAGAGGCCACTGCTGAGCAGTACAAGGCACCTGCTCCTTCCTAGGGCTGAGTGCACTTTATTCCAGAGAATTTCTGCCAGTTGAAGGAAAGCAAAAGAGCCCTTGGAACCAAACAGTGTTTTGAAAGATCCTTTTACTTGTGCAGTAACTCTTTTTAAATATACATAATAACAGTTGTCTTGAATAATGTAAATGCTTGTCCAAAAGAGAAGGAATTGCTGAGATGGATGGGGCATAATCATAGATCTGAATCAAAATCTGACTCCTGCAGCAAGCTGATATCTGCTGCACTTGTGCCCTGAGACATGGTTTAGTGTGTGACCAGAAAAGAGAAAAAGGTTTAAACTTTTCTGCTGGCTCAGTATTTCCCTTGATGTCCACAGTAAGGAAAATATAGAAAGGGCTGCAAGATAAATGGAAAGAAATTGATTTTCTGTTTTTCTTGTATTCTTGGTGACTGTGGTTGCTGGCTGCCACTCCAACTTCTCCCAGATTTGTTTTTGTGGCTTTAAAGTAGGTTCACATAAAGCATAAATTGTATTAGGTTCTTTAAAAGTTTTCTCCTGCATTGCAGCTCTTAAACCAGAAGTTGGACAAATGTCTACAAAGACAACCAATAGCTGCAGATGAGCAGCCAGAGCAGAATCCATTTCATTCAGAATGTGGGAGTGTGGCCCAAATCAGTGTCACACTGAGTCAGAGTGAGGGCTGGAGCTGCAGAGTCCAGATTCTGATTGCATTCTGATTTCTCCCAGCATACAAACGTTCAGCTGAGTGTTTTGGAGTTGTTTTCCAGGGTTCAGAGATATTTTTGTGTTGTTTCTCTTCCACTCCCACACCCCTCTGGCTACTCAGCCTGGTGGGTATGAGAAATAGTCACTGAACTGCTCTCATAACTAGAGGGCCAGTCCAGCACTTTAATTAGAGAATCTCATTTTCTTAATTATGGAAGAAACTCAGAAGCTTAGTAATAGGGGAAACTTTTTTTTTTTAACTTGTACTCTTATTATTTTTCTGTGTTGAGATAGAATGGTTAAAATTGAGGTTGAGGTTTATGACCTGTGTGATGTTGTCTACAGAAAGAAATGTATTTCAATCTCTTCACCTTCTTTTCCTTCTCAGTTTTATCATGTTATCTTTCAGCTTTTTATTGTTGCTGAACTTAAATATTTTCTTTGACCCACCTGATTTTATGAAAGGGAGATTTTTAGTCTGGTAAAAATCATGTGACCATTTAAACACTGTATGGCAGGTAAGAAATCTGTATTTAAACGTGAAAAAATGAAATGTTCTAGTATTTCAAGAAGTTGTAGCTTTCCAAAATATAAATTAATGCTACCTTTTTTACCTTCTGTGTAGGACTTTGAAGATGGGTTTATTCTTTCATATGTCACAAGATGAAATGGAGTGCTATGAGCCATACAATTGCCCTTCTGACACTGCATCACTTGCGTGAAGATTCTCTGATTTTTAAGTGGAAAATGTTGAAATTATTGTGAAATCCCTTATTTTTCCTAGAGCCTGCTAGATCCACAGTTGCAGGAGCTTTTATCCCTGTAGTGTTTTCAGCAGCAGTGGATGCAATCCTGTAAGGATGAATGTACCATGGAAGAAAGTTTCAAGAAAAAAAAACAAAAAACTTTCAGATGTTGCCTCATTTTGAGGTTGTCTTTATTGCAGTTTTTATTGAAGTCTGTCATTATGGGGCCTGAGTCACCTTTTCTAAGTAGAGACCAGTATTTGTATGACAGCCAGAGAAAGGAGGAGAATTGCAGTAAAATGAGGAAAAAACCCTTCTCAAGTCACTGATCCTTTTCAGTATAAACTCTTTGGTTACATGGAACTTTAAGCTGCACAAACTGTTTAGCAGATGGGTTTCTTTCTCTTTTGGATTCACTTGCACCAAGCTTGAGATCCCTGTCAAAATGACATGATGTTGATTTTGCCACCTCTGTCCTTGCAGTCAGCTGCACTTCATTTATAAACAGCACTGATCATTCAGCTGCATTTATTTCATTGGAACATACACAAATAATATTATAGAATCAGAGATGGGCTTGGGTTGGAAGGGAACTTAAAGATCTTCTTGTTTCACCTGCAGGACACCTTCTACTAAAGCAGGTTGCTCCAAGCCCCATCCAGCCCGGCCTGGGACACTTCCAGGGATGGGGAGTCCACACCTGCCCTGGGCAGCAGCAAAGCTGTATTTATAAATAACAATTCCATTCAACCATATTCATTTGGCAGAAAAATAAAGCATCTTCAGATGTACCTGAATGCTGAAATAATAACTGTTTTGTGTTGCAGGGTGTCCCAGAGGATTTGTTGTTTTTCTATGAACATCTCCAGAAGGGTGGTGGAGTGTTTCGAGTGAACCATTGCCTCCTGCTCTACCGCTACCATCCCCAGGCTGCCACCCACTCTGTCCTGGAGTAAGCTGTGCTTTCCAGAGAATGGAAAAGTTTTATCTTGGATCATGCTGAAATTGCATTGGGGTTTTTAATTAGGATTTTGAATATGTAATATACAAGGGTTTCATTCTCATGTTTTTTGCCATATGAACCATAATTTTAAAAAAAATATTTTTGAAATGTTCCAGCTTCATTTCGAAATCAACTGCCTCAATATTTAAGAAGTAAACAGAAACTTGTAATACCAACAAAAATGGTCTTTTGAAAAAAAAAGTAACCAGACCAAAACCAAACCTTTAATCTGATAATGTGCTGCCTTTACATATATTATTTTCTTATTTTAAAGGGTCTAAACCACCTAAATCAGATAATGATGTTTGAAAAATCCCTGAGGTTGTTTAGGAGTCATTATCTCAGGTGCTTCCTTGTCAAGCTGCCTTTGTTGCCTGCTGCCTTTCCTGGGCTGCTCAGCCCCTCAAGGAGGTGTTAAATTGCTGATTCCTCTACATGCTGCAAGCTGACCCAAAGCTGTTCCTTTCTCTTATGCAGTGACATTAATAAAAAATTACATGAGTTGTACTGTCCTTTAGGACTCCCATGTCAGAATCACGGTGGTAATTAAGTCAACTGTTTTCTTACTGATTAATGGTATAAATACACTTTTCACTCAGTCCTGTTTTTATGGCACTGTAGAGCTGACCAGTAAAACTGAACATTCCTGTGTGCATTTTTGTTGTCCATCCCTGTATTGTTGTATTGCTGTACATAGTGTAAAACAATGTTTTAAGATAAAATAAGTCCCATAAATAGCACACTCATGGTTAATGTCACTGCAGATCTTTAGAAATACATATAAATGTGCATTTCTATATAAAATCATTTGACTATGAAAAGATCATTCAAGCAAATAGTACATATGATTTTGATTTTGCAAACAAGCATGTGATAAATTATTTTCCTTTTCATTCATGTTGAAATGTAAGGATTTTTTTCTTTTCCCTCTTTTACTGTGTGATCCTTTTGGCACTTAGTGACCAACTTTTCAGCCACGCATTATGGGATGCTAAGAACTCTTGGAAGCCTTTTGCTTCTATCTGTGGGAAAGCATCTAATTCTTGGAAATTAATTTGTTTTGAATTTACTGCAAGCTGTTGCTTATTCAGATCTCCAAGGTTGTGTGGCACAAGCAGCCTGAATGACAGCATCCTGGGGGAATGTGGAAATGCTGTGAGCTGTTTCAGATGTGCAGGCTGCGGGTCCAAATTGGCGCCTTTCTTGTCTCATTCTAAGAAATCAGGCGAGCTGCTCTTCCTCTTGGCTTCCTGCTGGTACTACTGGGGATGAGATTTGGTGTGATTTTCCAAATATGAGGTTGTGCAACAGCTCCTTGTCTTGGCTCATTGCAGTGTTTGTTGCCCAAGTTGTGAAGGGTTGCCCGGTGTTTGTGTCTGGAGTCCGAAGTGTGCGTTGAGCAAAAAGAGATTAATGGGCTCATCACAAAGGTTTCAGTTTGTAATTTAAATTGGTTCTTGCCTAATTTGCCTCTTGGTCATTCTACTTTATTTAATGCATGTTCTGGCTTTTCTAGAAGCTCTTTTCTTTTTATGGTGTGTTTTGTTGAGCAGTTTTCTGGGGTGTTTTGCTTTTTGCCATTGGCCAGGTCATCTTTTAATTTTGAGTTAGCCTAGACCTGGATTTGGAAATAGTAACTCATCAGCTAAATTAATATTTTGTCTAAGATCAAAATGATGTTTGTAGGAAAGTTGATTTTTTTTTTTTTTAAACACTATAGGCCTAGCTTCAGTCTTAAAAACCATAGCAGGACATTTTTATACAAAGGTGCATCATTCATTCTTTCCAGCAAAGACAACAGTCTCTCATAGCCTGTGGTGGCTTCAGTTTATGTGGGTGTCTTTCAGAACCCTCCAGGGGGAAAGAAGCCTCACTGCACTTTCAGACTTCCTAAAATATGTGCAAAACTGCTTGGCAAGTGACATTTGGTTCTTTTTTTTTCCTAGTTAGTATGTATAATTGTAAACACTCGTGTGCTTTAGGTCATTTCCTATGATTAGTATCCTTCTGGAACAAATATCTGGAGTTGAGAATATCTGTGAAGCAGGAAACTAAATCTTATTTGCATTCTCCCTTACCCTGGAGGCATCAGTCTGCATTATTAAATGTTTTGGGTGCGTGACGGAATCTGCATGAAGTTCAGTGTCTGTATTTAGATTTCATGAGGTGCATGCAGAAATATGAATGTTCTCACTGTCATTTCATCCAAAGTCAGTGATGGATACCTGCTGGATTTTGAGAAACTTCTCTTCAGCTAGGAGTTCACAACACGAATTCCCACATATCATATCTCTTGGATCTAAATAACTTTATTTGGTGTTGTACCCTAGGGCTGTGTGTACTCAGTGCTGCACGGCCACATTCAATTGATGTGAGACCATATCAGAGCTGGCTTTAGAGTGAGGAATACTAGAGTGAGAAAGTCTAATGAATAATAAAAACACTTTAAAATTCATAGATTTTTATCTTGCCAAAGGGGAGAGAAAGGAACTGTATATACAACAATACCTCACTGCAAGATGAAAGCGAGCTTGGAGTGAGATGAGCAATAAAACATTGCACTTGTCTTTAGGTAGTGCTGCTCGTGAAGACAGGTGCTTGGGGCATGCAGCTAATCCTTGGAGCAGTTTACAGGTTTTAAGTCAAGACAAATTTAATACATGTGGAAAATAAGGTTTGTTCATTCTGTCTAAGATCAGGGCAGTTCCCTTTTACACAGAGAAGGTGAAGTGCACCTTCAGTAATTCCAGATCCCCTGTGCTCAGAATGAGTATGATATTGCTCTGCAGAAATAGGCAGAATTACATAATCTATTGAAAACATCTGGTTTCAGGCACTGGAAGCTTCCAGTGTCATGTGAGTGAAGAGGAACAGGCATTAGTGTGAAACACACATTTGGCTGTTTCAGAGGTGCTCTGAGGCCGGGTCTTGGATCAGTGGTGAGCACAGGAATGCCTCTTTCATTTCCTGCACAAACATACACGGCCAAAAATAGGCAGGAGAGAGGAATAGCCTAACATATTCCTGCAGAGCTGAAATTAAGATGAGGTCAACTGCAGTTTTATCTTCTACGCTTGCATTTGGCACTTCAATTAAACATGGAAACTAATGACCTCATTAGATTCTTGAAAAGTAAATGCCATTAACATTGATAGTCTCTGTCTCTCTTAATAAGCCTTTCATGAAAAATAGGCCACAATGCAAACCATGCCTCAGCTAATGACCCGTGCCCTGAAGATGAACTCAGACATTAATAGAACCTATTAACACTGTAAATGTAATAACTCAGTGGGACGATATAGTCCAGCAATTAATAAGTTCACATGAAGTTCAACAGAACAACAACGGCAAAAAAAATCAGTTTATTCACCAGTATGGCCAAGGTTCAAACACGATTTATTTCTGAATTTCCTGTGGATGGTAAGGGCCTTGAATTCTGCATGCAACACTGGCTGTAAGGGATCTGCTTTTTCAGCTCTCCCTGTGATTATGAAGTTCTGTGTTCCTCCATCTCTGGTGTATGGATCAGGTGAGGGTCACCTGTCATACAGAACTCTCTTACCCTGCCATCAATAAGAAGGCCCTGGAAGAGTCCATTCACTTGGGCAGCTCCTCTTCCTGCCTGGTGTTACCTGAGCACTGTGCTGGGCCAGCACAGGGAGAAAAGGTCAGATTTATGGATCTCTAGTATTTCTGTGCATGGCAATCGATGCCTAAAATTCCAGTACTGCTCAGGATATTGGGCTTGTATTTCTGCATTGCTCAAGTACTTGTACATCTGTCTTTGCTCTGTGGATTCACTTATGTGGCCTCACTGGGGGAAGGAGGGGAAAGGCAGTGCAGCAATATGGCGAGGTTTGACTGAGCTCAGACATTAAATCATGTTGCTTTTATTGTCACATTATCTTTCATTTCAAAATAGGAGTAGAGCAGATGTTTCTTGACTCCTGAATTCAGTCAGTAGGTCACCACACATTTTTAACAGAGCTCCATTGTTGCATTTCTTGGGTGGATGGTCTGGTAATAACTACTTGGGGCTGAGGAACACACGGCATAGTCATTCTCACCCTCTGCATGAATACCCTCGTTTCACTCCTGCAGAATTTTGGCTCCTCTTCTTCCTCCCAGGCTCCATGACTGATGAGCATTGAGGGGCCATTGCAAGTGAGATCTTAGGAAAATTCTGTAAGCCTCAAGAATGATATTTTGAGTGGAAATACTTCTAACATTTCTTTTGCAAAGTTGTGACAACAAAACGAAAGGGATGGGAGAAACAATATTTTTCAAGACTTAGGGTCAAGAAATAATGTTAGGATATGGGAACAAAGTTGTACAGTGAGAAGAACTTTGTCCCACCTTCTGGCTGAGAAAAATCTGAACTGAATACAGGCTTGGACATGGTGCTAAAGGCTGCTGCAAGTTGCTTACTCGAATCTTTTCTGAGATGGGTAGGAAAAGCCATCTTGATTTGGGGTGATGCAGAGCAATAATACCTCCTAGGTTTTGCTGGTGGCTGTGAATATGTAATACTGCATAATCTGAAAATAGCTGTGAGAATCATCTCTGAGTAGTGGTTTGTGCAACCTCTAGATCGTTTCAGGCATTTTCTTTAATTACCCTTTGCACGTTGCTACAGCTCCTGTCTGGTGCACCTGCACTGGCTCGTGAAGGATGGGAAAATGGCATTCCCTTATCCCTGGAGGCAGGAATCCCAGTTATCTATTCTGGAAACATCAAAAAAATGTGGCAAATTAGGTGAAGCGGAAACCTGAAGGGAATAACCGAAACTCTCTCCTTTGACACCTGGAAGCTCCTTTTGCCTCAGCGTGTGGGATTGTTTGTGCAGAGTGAGTTCTCACAAAGATGAAGCCTCTGAGTGTCACTCGAAAGCTCAGTCACAAATTCTCCCCTCAGTTCTGTGTTTATCTGACATCTCAGCTTGCACTGTTAAAAATATTTCAGGGTTAATTCAAGACTTCAAAGTGTTTGATATAACTTAATTTTTTCATTGGAAACACACAATATGGAGGTGTGAGCTTCAAATGTTTTCCTTTGGGCATTGTCATAAGAATGCCTGGTAGTGATGCAAGCAAAAAATCCCAACTGCTGGGTATATTGGCTTTGTTTTTATAACCCACAGTATGTATTTTAGGAAGTTTTGTACTGATGTTAAATGAAGCTCTCTGACAATACTCTTGTGGTTGAACAACAACTCAATTAATTTGGAGTTTAATATTTTTCATACCCTTCTATTTCAGAGTGCAGTTCTCTTACAAGCTTTCCCCACTTGCTTTTCCAGGATAACATGAGATGAGTCAGTAAATCTGCTTCAGTCTGAAATCTTCATGGGTGACTAACAGCATTGAGATTTGGTCTGATTGAATTTTACCTCAGCAGGGATTCCTGTGGCACAGAGGCTCTCATGGCCCAGACAGCAACCTCGAACTGTCTGGATGAACCAATCCTGCTGTGCTGGGACATCCATCTCCATGAAAATAAAAACATCTTTTAGAAGCCTGGAGGTAGATTGCAGTGTTTGCACTGCACCTAGAAATTAGTTAGAAGTTATTTTCATGCCTTGTAAGGCTGCCTGTTTTTTTTACTTTAGCTTTCTTAATGTTGCAAACTCAAGTGGAAAGAAACTTGCCAGTGTCATTCAAGCCAACAGAACAGATTCTGAAGTTCCTTTGGAATGTAATATGGTGTTATCCTTCTGAAGTCACATTTCAAAGGAAAATCACTTTAAAAACCTTTCAATTTATGTGCAAAGCAATAATCTTCCTTTTTAGAAGCACGCAGGAGCTCTGTAATGTCTAGTAAAGTGATCCTGGAAAAGTACTTGGCCTTCATATTTTGTTCCTTAAACTTTCCTTTTGGGAATACAGTATGCTTCATGAACGTGGAAAAAGGCAAGTGTCAAAGGATGCCAGCAGCAGTTAAAGCTTTGCAGCAGGAATGCATCTTGTGGTTGCACTAGAAGAGATTTTTAATCAAATCCAAGAATTTCTTTTTCTCCATTAGTTGAAATGCTGGTGCAGAGCCATCATCCTTGAAACTGTGGGGACATTTTATTTGTGCACGAGGTCTTTTCCAAGTTATCACACCAGGCTCAGTGATGAAGTGCTGAGCAGGATCTGGCTGTGCTGAAGTGAAGTGGGGTCACTGGTTCCTATGAGAGTCTTCAGAATATAACTCGGGGATGTGAAGGAATGATGCAAATAAGCAAATGGAAAACCCCATTTGAAAATTGCCTTAAATAAGGAGACATCACTAGGGGTTCATCAGAATTTCCTGGGAAAGAAAGTTACAGCTCAAGGTGCCTTGTTCAAGAGATGTAGGTTAGGAAGATTAATTTGTCAAATTGAGGAAATCAATTTGTTCTCTCTAGGAAACCGTTTAATAAGTCTGAGGTGGGTTCCTAATTAATGAATATTAAATGAACGCTGGAAATAAAGCAGATGTTTTTAACAGCAGGGAGTTTTCTTTAATCCGTGATAAATGTTGTAGTCTTAGATATTACATTATAGGGTAGAACACACACACTCAAACATGAAAAAAAGCTGTAGTTGTCCAAGTGGATTTGCCAGTAGGGAGAAATGGACCATGAACAAACTGCTTTCCTTGATGTTGTCTTCTCTTTCTGAGAACCTGTCTTGAACTTGTTGAGGATGTCAGCAGATCTTCAGTATCTAAGCTGTTGGCTGCTCCCTTGCTGTGGATGGTTCCAGAGCTGTGGGATTTGTCATTTAGTATTAGTGTCACCCTTGTTTACCTCAACCACTTGGCTTAATTATGTTGTGGAAATGATCCCAAAGATGAAGACTTAAAGGTGTAATTGCACACAGACATCTGCCAGTTTGCTTTTTTCCCTAAAGCATGTTTAGAAGAGTTCTATGAGGCATACTGCTTTTTTGAAGGAAAAATAATCCTACTGCTTTTTGTCCCAAGGAATGCAGTTTCTCATGAAAGTTGCCTTCAAGTAAAGGGACAGTCACATTTGTGTCATTGCCAAATAATACCTGGGAACTTTTACAGTTAAATCTCTCTTATTTGGTCTGAAATGTGTGTGCAGGATGGTCAGTGTGAATGGTAACAAATGGTTTGTGTGTGACTGCAGCTCAGTGATTGCTGCTGGAGG